GTTTTTGTGTACTTTAATATTTTTCCTTTGTTATGACTTACTCTTAACCTGTCTAGTTGACCTTTTAATTTTTCATATATAAATGTTCTTAACAAGTATATGTGTGATCAGATTGTTCGAAATGTATTGGGCAAATATATCACATAATTCTGATAAACTACGTCTTCTCATTGCATTATCGAAATTCATAATAATTTTTTCATTTAGAATGCAACAGGAGTGAGCCTTCACAGATCTTACAAACTGTGACGCCGTTAGAACTATGGCCCTATGAAACTTTACGGGAGACCAAACTAATAGCAGATTACTAAAAGCATGCTGGACGTCCACTTTAGTCTCACAACCACTTCCAGTATTTTTGAGTTACTTCTTTTACCCTTTCGTTTGAAAGAAAAAACAACAAAGGCTGCAGCTTAACATTACCAATTCGACTTTTAAATGGGAACCTGGTGTCAATCTTTGTTTGATATTCCATTGTTAATGAAACTTCCTGAATAAATTTGTAAATCTGATGCTACTTTGTTTTATCTAGTTAACCGTTGTAAGAAACTTGTGAAACACGAGCCTCTCAGCACCTAGTTCATATGTAATAAATTTAAGTGATATACTGCATATCTTCGTTATTTTCTTGGGAAACCTACAGATTCGGGCCCTCACATCCTATTCTAGCCACCATGCATTGTCACGGCAGTTGATGGATGGACACGCGTTACACATATCCTAACCGTCCCTGTGTCTAATCTCATAGTTTCTTATTTAAATGCCCTATGATAAGCAAACAATGCCTCTACCCACACTAATGGTACACTAGTAACTCGAAGGTATCGTACATCGATCTACATGCTCACTTAAGTCTTCAGTGAGAATATCACTACCGTCCTGGTAAACATCCCATGAACCCCTCTATCTCCATCAAAGCAAATAAATCTATAGTTGCTGAATATAACACTCATTTTTCAAAAGTAAGATATAACAGTTAAAATTGGAGTAAAATGGGAATATGCAGCAGATGCACATGGTACGACATGTCTACATCGACTACCTGAAATAGAGAATGCAGTTATTAGCTTAACAGGCTTATTTAGAAAGACTAATGTCTACTTTGTGTGGACTTGTAAGTCCACTGCGTGAGAAAGTTATGCTGGAACTACGAATATTGTAGAAATCGAGTTCCCCAGGGCGTACGAAGCACTCAAACTGAAAGACCGTTGTCCAAAACTAATTCGAATATGAAGGTGGAGATTCGCAGATACTTTTCATCTCAAGGGTGAACATATTAGGTACCCGTTGACATCATACCGTAAAAGAAACAAATTTGCAACTGGTGAAGTTTGGTCTATTAAAAAAGTGAGCTTAGTAACAGTTAATCACCATTTTACTCCTTGATCATGACCCTCCGGCTTCCTTTTATGGCAGCGTAATGTATTATATTTTCCCTATAGCGACACGTATACGTGTCCGCAAATAAAACAGACAGACGTTTATATACAGTGAAAGTTATTGGTTGCCCTCATCGCAGTCCATGTGATTGCTCGCAAAACGTTGGGAGGATTTGGAGGTTTTCAGTCTCATTTCCACAAAATGCATAAACTTTTCCCGAAAGTCGGGATATTGGCTAAACCAATTGGTTTACTATGTGAAATCATAGTCTCAAGCACATCCCTTTAAGTTTTAATACCACGATCACTTTATTGTATTTTTTTGTTGTGTTTTAATACACAACAATAGTTTATTAATTAATAAACTATTTTGTGTTACAGATTTTGTTTCTGATTATATCGTAGTTATTGCAGTGCGAGAAGATAGACAGGTATTGTTCTCGGGTGATTTGTTATACTTCGAGTCAAGTTAGTATCAACTTGGCAGTTAGCCATTATAGGATTACATCAGTACGTTAAGTTCCCACAATTGATTTTAGTGTAAACGACGGGCTCGTACTGTTGTGAAACTAAATTAGTGCGGATGTAGTTCCACAATAATTAAGAGACGGATATTTGTTCATAAGCATAATAAACAAGTTTACTATATAAGTTTGGAAACTAGTTTTCAACTTTCGTGATGTTGCTTCGTACACGTGGGTTCCTAACTGTGGGGAAATCCCCAAAGTGAAATAGCTTTCCCCAAAGTTTGGGAAAATTTTGGGGTTTTTGTGCCATTTCCCCAAAATTGGGAGCTCGGGTTGCTTTACTACGATAACGTATTTGGATGAATAGTAGGTCGCAATGCTACGAACTGTCATATACTAGATAGTTGCGTTACTGTGGTTTAAATAGACAAGGACTGTCATCGCCAGTCCCAAAGCCACTTTTTTGTTGTATATATTAACTCTTTTGACTTGCAAGCGTCTGTTACATGCTCACCTTACCGAATACTTTGTGATCACTACTTTAATATATACACCATCGAAACGCCCTTCCCGTTAGTCCATACAAATCTCCACGCGTATACTGCACAGTGTGACCATTACAGAACTCGATGTCTTTGATCTGCTAAATAAGCTTGACATAGGCAAATCCACGGGAGCCGATGAGCTGCATTCTAGGTTACTAAAGGAATTAGCTAACTTCGTTGCGAACCCTTTAAGTGTGTGCTTCAATCTATTCGTAACCCAGGGTCGATTACCAAAAGACTGGAAAACCACCATAATCAGACATGTCTTCAAAACAGGTACGAAACGTAAACCTGAGGATTACCAACCAGTTAGCCTAACTAATGTGGTTGTTAAAATTTTAGAAAAGATTATTCGGAAGGAGCTGTTTACGTATCACGATAAAAACCGAATCCTTTCGGAAAAGCAGTATGGCTTTAGAGTAGGTTATTCCTGTCTCACTAACTTATTAGTGGCTCTTAAGGGCCAAAAGTTACCTTGAGACGTAGTTTACATTGACTTCAACAAATCTTTTGGCAAAGTTCGTCACAACCTGCTGTTCTATAAGTTGAGAAATGTCGGGGTTGGAGGCAATCTATTGATATGCATAAAAGACTTCCTAGTTGGGCGCCAACAAAGAGTACAGGTGAACTCCAAGTTGTCTAATTGAGAAACTGTGCTTAGTGGAGTGCCTCATGGTACAGTTTTGGGGACGGTGTTATTCCTCTTGTATGTAAATGACCTTCATCGTCTACTGTCATTATCGGTCTTGCTATATGCTGACGATGTCAAAATATGAAGAACGATACGATGTAAGGGTGATAGCTTAGAACTCCAAAATGACCTGAAGAAATTATCTGAATGGTCTCAAACCTGGCAGTTGCATATAAATACTTTCAAGTGTGTTGTGATGCATATCGGTCATCAACCCAAGCTGCCAGCTTTGGGGAAATTTTGGGGTTTGCGTCTCATTCCCCCAAAATTTACTATAGCGGCTTCCCCAAAATGGACCAAATTTTCCCCAAAGTTGGCAGCTTGGGAAGGTACAGATAAATACACGATGAATAACACTGAGCTACCTGTCGTCCAGACACATAATGACTTAGGAGTCATCGTTAGCCAAAACTTAAAGACTACTGCACACTGCCGTGCAATAGCCGTCAAAGGTTTTAGAACCTTATAGTCAATACGTAGGGCTTTTAGTCATGTCGATGCTAAAACGTTTTTGACTTTGTATACAGTGTTCGTGCGTCCTAAACTTGAGTAATGCATACAAGCGGCTAGCCCCTGCTCAAAAAAGACAGTGAGCTTTTGGGAAAGGTTCAGAGAACAGAAACTAAGCTGATTCCTGGAACAGCGAAGCACCCGTATAATGTTAGACTGATCAAGCAAAATCTATTCCCGTTGTCATATAGAAGAAATAGAGGTGAATTGGTTAGTTTTCAAATTGCTTAGTGATAAATTTGCACCTGATATGCCCTCATTTTTCTTGTCTTCCAAAACAGAGGATTTGCGAAAAAACTCCAAAAAGGTTCACAAGCCCAGAACAAATTACTTGTCAGCTGACTATCGACTTTCCCGTCGAACCATCAACGAGTGGAACTCATTACTTCAGTACGTGGTTGAGACTCCATCAGTCGACTCTTTCAAAAGAAAGTTAGACCAACTGAAAGACCATCATCGCCAGAACTAACACAGCCCACCAAGCCTTCTGTCCTTTCCAAACTGAAACTGGAGATCCTTCCACCTAGTGAATAACTTTGATGAAATCCTGTTACGACGGGCTTCTTCGCCAAATAGTGCTTATTTTGTAAATAGTTTTTGTATTTATTCAGTTAATTTTTCACACTGTAGTCATTATTAAAATCAACGAGAATTCCAATATGAAGTCCGGATAACATTGAACTCCCCACATTCCCATGCATATAATATTATATATATATATATATATATATATATATATAGTGGGGGCGCACTAAGCAATGAAAATTTCTTCTGAGTGACCTATTTCAAAACTAGCAAATCTTGACGGATTCAAGGACGAATAATATAATTGCTAATGAATTATTAGATAACCAAGCTGAAAGACGTCAAGCTGTTAGACTTATTGTGAACAACCCGAGGGCTCCTGTGTATACAGTTAGGAACAGTACGAGAAAATGTCTTCTGCCTGGTCAAGAGTAACAAACACTAGTTACTACTCAGTAAACCGTCTTACAGGTTATGACATCAGTGACGCCATTTTTTAAGCTTACCGAGTTGTCTGCATAAACACCTATAAGCCAACAAAGAACCCAAACACTCTTCTCTCAAGTTCCCACGGAGAAAACTTCACTCGAAAGCTGTAAGGTTATTTCATGACAATGAAAGACCTGCATACGTTACAGTAAAAAGTCTATCATTAGTTCCTTAGCTTTAGACTAGCGATTCGTGAAACCGCTTCAGGTCGAGGCCTTTACCTATACTACAGACCGATCATCTGAACATCTAGAATGGAGCAGACGAGAATGATGATGAACAATTAGTATCTGCTCATTGGAGCGCATAAAAAACCACACAGGAACGAAGTAATTACATCTGACTTTGTTACTGATCAACAATAATCACAATTCTATTTGGATGAAGAACATAATATTGGTAAGCATGAATTTAATTTATATAAGAATAAAAAGCAATACATTCATTTTGCGTATCATATTACTCATGAGGAAAAAAACTGGACCAGTTCATCAATGCTCCACTCTTCATCACCATCCTGATCGTATTTGTCCATAAATTTTTGTACAACACTTTCTGACAGATTGCGACTAGATCCTAATTCTAATAACCTCTTTACTTCTTTCGAGGAAAGTTTCCCCGATTTGTCGGTATCTGCATAATCAAAAAGTGCTCTGATTTCCTCCCTGAAATAAAAACAAAGTAACCAGTCATTAATCCACTGAAAAATTTCTACGAAACAATGTGTGATGTACTACTACACACTCACATAGACAGCATGACTCGGCTGGTGCTGAGTGTTAGAGAACAAATCGCAAATAGCGACGATTGAAAATCAGTTTATATAGTAAATAGTCTATCCAATCAGAAGACTACATGATTTGAACAACGATGTCATGTGCGACCTTGACTAGCAATCAAGGTTGTACTAATTCCATTAGGTCATATGAAACCGCAAGGTGATTGGATAAAAACAAATTTTGTGGTGAGACTATAATTTATGGACGAGCTTTGAGCGATGCCAAAGTGACCTTAAGGCTGTTCACCTAATAACTGGGACCAAATGAGGGTTATAAACCAGTGTGAGGAATCAGAATTATGATTTATAATTGACGGTTAGAGTTGGGTATTACATTTATGGTTTTCATCACGAACTGACATCAACTATAATGCCAAAACTCTATTTAGCCAAATGGATGAGTGAATTTCGCGCCAAAATCCGAAACCTGTTATCTCATATTTGATTGGTTCGTCCATAAATTTCAGTCTCGCCGAATTTGTTTGTTAGACCGATGCGCTTAGTCATGAAATCGTCTTTGGAGCAGCTGGTGTATATTGTACCATCACCCTTGCTTTCTGGGATTGTTCTCCAGACGAATCATTCATCCCAGTTTGATGCGTAACCAACAACTTTATAAAAGTATCTAGTATTGTAGATTATCACAGCTACCATATCCTCATTAAGAAGCTAAGAGCTTACTAAGGTTCATAACTTAGTTGCCCGAAGTGGACGATATTTTTCGAGAAATCAAGCTGCAAGAGTAAGGTTCATAAACATACAAATGCCGTTTAATGATAAAATTGATCGTATGGAAAAATAATTAAGATTTCAATACAGGCCGTATTAAGTGTCAGTTTTGGTCTTTGCATTACAAGCGAACCAACTGAATAAACGCAATAATCGTCAAATCTTCTAACCAATATATCCGGTCGTTAAAACCTGGTGTCTTGAGAAACTCGCTTTCTATTCTAGGTCTCATCACTGTGATTACTTCGTATTTAGAACTGATTGTATGATGAGTGGTGACTAGCCTTATGCTTATCTAGTCTTTTAGGTGCTGATCGAATTCTATCGACTAAATTGATGTTTGGTTACTAGACATCGCGTGCAATATATGTACTATGCTAGAAAATCTTAAACTTATGTTTTGTGCTGGTTGGCACTCGTTAGCAAGGGGTACCTACAATCATTAGGCAGCTGATACTCCCTGTGTGACTTGTATCCACATCATCCGGCTTCACAGTCTAAGGCATTTGCTGAACTACTCGGACCGCTATTGACCTGTTGTAGCGCTGAAATATTTGCGATTGGTTGATCACCGAGGTGTGACCCATATCATTAGCACTTAAGAGACCAGAGTATTTCACTCATAAGGTACAGGTAAATGGATCTAAGAGAAATTTGTGAAATATCTGAGCCCGAGTGAGTTATTCAGTTATGTTGATTATTACAGCCCCAACTGTTTTTATTCTGTTTCGTCACGTTATTTGGCATAAAATGCTTTTTAAATATTTAGCAAATTAATGACTAAATTATGTAGCTTGACGAAACATCAGGGCGTGTTAATCAAAAACGATTTTCAGGGTCAACTGGTCATTCAAAGCCGGAAAGAGAATATAATCACTATTAGTACATAGACCAACGCCCACACTGTTCAAATGTCGGCCACTACATTAATGTGTATAAATTTGTTTTTACTCAATCCGTCTACTTATTTGGTCTAATTAGGTATGTATTGAAAGCTGAATAAAATAATGTTCAGAATTCTTTTATCGATAATGTAGGTGATGGAGTCGTTTACTGTTTAAAAAAAAGTGGTTTCCGCTAAAATGAGTCATATGTATCACATGACAATGAAGTGATATACTAAAGCGTCAATTAAAGCAACCACTAATGTTTAATCTTAATTTATATGATTTGGACTAGACTGGTACTTTATCCTAGCATTAACGTTCAGCTCAGATTCTCAACTTGTGCTTCACTTGTTTATTGACCTCATGAAACAAGTTCAAACCCGTACTATTTTGATAATAAGGTAGAGCGTCATTTCACATGTCCTCACTATTGAATTAATCAGTTGAGTATGGAGTAGGCAATATAAAACTGAGCAAAGCAAAAACGGCAAGATTTCTAGAGTAAATTCTATCTATTTCAAAAATTCTCGTCAGTTACAAACAATCTAAAGCTACAATAAATGGTATAACTATGAACAACAACTTGACTTCGATAAGTTGAGTTAATTGTTCAAAATGATAATAGGCATATTAAAAAATCATGTTACTAAATATAGTGAAGATTGATGCCTGTATAAGTTTTGAGAAGATAGTCATGCGGAGTGAAGTAGGTAAGATTCAGATATAGGGTCCTAGAAATGCGTTCAGAAAATCTCAGAAATTGTTGTCTCACTCCGTGTATATTTGCTAAAATAAATATATGTCAATAAACAAGTTTTGCTGGAGGTGACATCAGAAAGTGTATTAGTCAGTTTTTACTAATTTAATGAGAATTTAGAATCATATTTAATGAAACTGGTTGAGTTGTAGGGACTCTTTTTAGTGCCGTCCCAGTTCTTCCTTGGTTTTCATCCCCATTAAATGAAAAGTAGGTGCGGACACGTTTTTTGATAGTTGGACATTTTTAGATCTTAGGATCCTCCTCTCCATGCTTAATAACGAATTTCTCTAGAAGAATCTCTTCGATGATTGTTGTACTCTCATTTCATCCACTGAACACACTGCTCTAGCTATATTAAAGGGATTTTACTACGTAAACTTTGTGACTTACAGAATTAGAACAGTTATAAGTTAAATATAGGCTCGTCTGTATGTATGCTTTTCTCAAAAGTTCTGTCATTATTTAGTTCTATCCTAAGGTTCAAGCAGTCGAAATTCTTATCGTCTCCATACTTCTCTGTAAAAATAATGCTTAGGTGAGGATCGTTGAACTAGTGAAACCGTCGAATGGGATGATTTGTATCAATATAAATAATAAATTGATATCATCAGTACATGCGGGGTGTTATGCTATATTTTTTAAAATTTCGTATTTAAATTCTACTTATTTAAGGTTAGCTAAAGAGATGTCATTCAGGACAGGTCCTAGTAAGCCTTTTCAATCAGATTAAAGAATAATATGAAAATATCTGAAATACTTCTATCCTTGAATAACTTTATAGATTACTGAAAATCTTTTGAATTTAATAAGGGAACCACGATACAAACAAGCTTGAATAAGAGGAAATAAGATTGAGAAGTGATGAAATTTTTTTTATCTCAGCAGCTGTCATCTTTCATCTATCTGTTTAAAGTTGTATTTTTTGTTCAGTTTTGATCAATGTTAATTATGATTTTAGTTAATATTTAAAACTACTGATTATAAGGCTTTCTTCCTCCTTGTTCATTCTAGAATGATTTTTGTAGCTGATGAACGATGCCTCCATATATCACTAATAGATTCTATCTAATTTTTCCGTAGAAGTGCTCATATTCTGACGGCAATTTAAATCAGTCCCTATCAGATAGTATGAACCATAATAACCTTATATAGTTGTGGTAAATAACATCGTTTACAATGTATTTGGAATTGAATGATTTATAGCAAAATTTAAGTCACTGTAGATGTCTGAATACTGAAACATTGAGAACATCGAACTAGACATATAAATTATTTTCACCAGTTAGTTTAATTTCAACACTTATTTTCCTGTTAATAGTTCTTGATCTAAAAGTAATTAGAAATTTCCAGTATGGGGTTACATTATTTTTTTTAAAACCAAGTTGTTTGTCGATCGATAATCTCTATTGTGCACTTGTTTGCCTGTTTAAACACATTGAAAAGGACATGATGTTAATTAACTATTTCGCTTACTGTTAGATGAAATCAATAATTGTAACAAAGTTTTGAAGGTGTATATGTCCGTTACAAATTCTTGTGTATAGAGTGGGTGAATAAAAAAATGAATATAATATCAATAAACTGTTTGAATAATGTAATCGACGAGAGAGACAATAACAATGATAAAACCAAAATAATAAAAGTATATATGAAAATAATATTCACGATTGTTGTGACCTGATGGTAGGTGAAGGTCATGGGAGGAAAATGACTAAACGGTGGATTTCATACACATTCATTTTATCAGTAAGGTTTAATAGTAAACATGGAGTGTAAAACTTGAAAGACTCATAATTCGTATTAAGGTGTAAGGTTAATATGATAATTAGAAGTATTCGAATTAATTTAAACCTGGATTAATTCTGGTTTGGTTATATATTCTCTGCAGAAGTGGCTTACCTTGAGTCACGAAATGTCAGGAAACTTGATTTTTCTACTCATTAGGATATTACAAATATATTATTTTATTTATTCGGATTAATGTATTAACTAAGAATTTCCAAAATAGTGCTATTTAAGGCTAGTAGAACTAGATGAGCACAAATGAACGTATTATATTTTGGAATTCGTAATAAGCGCTCAATAAAGTACAAAGAAATCATCAGTTAGTACAAATAACAGTTAGCCATACATACTCAGTAGTTGTGTAGCATCTACCATTGTCGATTGTTGTTCTGTCCATTTAATGGATGAGTGTTAAATATAAAAGTGTAATTCTCACTAGATGTTTCTTTTCAAGCCCTAAATCTCACTATATTTATGTTTTTCATCTGACGTGTCAAGTACAATAACGTGTTAATAGTAGGTTGGTCTGGTTAATTTCAGATCCCAACACTCAACCACTAATTGAACAGAAAGATGATTAAGAATGATTAATACGACAAATTTATTGATCATTGTAAAACGGTTGGATAACCTCACACATAACTAACATTCTGAGACTATTTTCTCTCTAGTGCATTCGAGTATGTGAACGACAACTAGAACTGTCTTCTCTTTTGAAACCCCGTGTTCCTAATGTGTTGATTCTCACTGAGTTTCTCTAGTTCAGTATCTCAGTAAAATATTTTATTGTTGTCATATTTCGACTCCACGTTGTTCGTTGGACTGTTGCTGGATGTTGTAGTCGTAATAACTTTGGAGTATTAACAAAAGAGTCGCAGTAAACATAGTTCAAATTCTGCTCCTAAATTATTATCCTACTGGTGATTTGTTTCCAGAAACACTAGGTTTCAACGCT